CCTCACTACTAACCCACAATGGCCACCTGAAAGTTGGTGGCTTTTAAGGGAGAAGCAAGAGATGTCACAAAGGAGGGCAGATCCTTGTCACCATGGCAACCCTCCCCCACCTGGACCTGGCCTCTCCTGAGAGATGATGCTCCACTGTCAGAACTTGGAGGCACCTGCTGTTCTGCCTGCAACTGGGCTGCATCTTCTCTTGACAGATTCACCTCAGCATTTCACATCATTCTTCTTGCAGCCCCATTTCCAAAGGGAGACCATCCCCACATCCTTTAAGGCAGGCTAGGGGTCTCCATAGCGCAGGATTGGACCATCTGCTTTGCGTGTAGCTCTTCTGTCCTGGGTGGCATATCCAGGGTGGTCTGGGAATGTCCCCCCCATCCAAAACCCTGGAGAGCTGCAATGATGAAGGGTCTGGAAACCAAGCCTCATGAGGAACGGTTGAGGCAGTTGGAAACCAAGCCTCTTGAGGAACGGTTCCTTCTGGCTGTTCCCTCGCTGCGAGAAGCGAAGTTACAGGGAACCAGGCAGAGGGCCTTCTCGGTGGTGGCACCTGCCCTGTGGAATGCCCTCCCGTCAGATGTCAAGGAAATAAACAACTGTCCGACTTTGAGAAGACATCTGAAGGCAGAGGCATAGGAAGGGGGGTGCGGTGGCTGTGGATCGCCCCGGGTGTCATCACTGAGGGCGGTGACAACATGGCAAAAATATGTTTTTTTAAAAATGAAATAATTTTTCCCCCCAAGGTAAGGGAGGAGGCAGTGGCGAAAGAAGGCAGGGCTGCGGCACGCTGCCTGCCTCTCCTCGTGCTCCTGCTCTGGCCTCGGCTGGCGTGTGGGGAGAGCCTATAAAGGGGGCTACCGGTGGGGAACGCTGCTTATGCAAAGACCGCCAGTGACATGCAGGGGGCAGGGGGACCAGGCCGCTGAGAGGCTCCGGGTGGCGTAGCCCGGGTGTCCTGTTGTGGGCAGGCATGTGTGCAGACAGCGTGTGGGGAAGCCAGGAGGAAGCACCCCCAACTGGAAGCACCCATAGACATTTCAGTTGGCGCACAACTGGGGTGGGGATAGGGCAGGACGCAATAATATTGTGCATTTCAAATGTTTGTACATAGCACTAGCAAAGGTGCAAGAGCCTGCTGGTGGGTAAATATGTACAGTGGTACCTCAGGACAGATCGTGAAGCTGAGGCTCCAATACTTTGGCCACCTCATGAGAAGAGAAGACTCCCTGGAAAAGACCCTGATGTTGGGAAAGATGGAGGGCACAAGGAGAAGGGGACGACAGAGGACGAGATGGTTGGACAGTGTTCTCGAAGCTACCAGCATGAGTTTGACCAAACTGCGGGAGGCAGTGGAAGACAGGAGTGCCTGGCATGCTCTGGTCCATGGGGTCACAAAGAGTCGGACACGACTAAATGACTAAACAACAACAACCTCAGGTTAAGTACTTAATTCGTTCCAGAGGTCCGTACTTAACCTGAAACTGTTCTTAGCCTGAAGCACCACTTTAGCTAATGGGGCCTCCTGCTGCTGCCGCACCGCCGGAGCCAGATTTCTGTTCTTATCCTGAAGCAAAGTTCTTAACCTGAAGCACTATTTCTGGGTTAGCAGAGTCTGTAATCTGAAGCGTATGTAACCTGAAGCATATGTAGCCTGAGGTACCACTGTAATGGAAAGTATATGCTTGAGGGTTTCATATAGGCATCTAGCTGGCCACTGTGAGAACAGGATTCTGTTCTCAATGGGATTCAGCAGGGCTCTTCTCGGCGGCGTAGCTAGCTGCTCGGGTGCTGGGTGTGGTGAGCGTGTCCTGCAGCTGGGGTTGGGGCAAGCCCCACATGGTGAGGGGATGCGCTGCGTGGAGCCTCTACGCCACCTCCCCCTCAGCTGTAGGGCCGCTGAGGGAGAGGCGGAGGGCAGATGAAAGTCCCACGCTGCCGTCTCAGGCAGCACAGAGCCTGCAGGCCCCCAAGCCATCACATCACTCCTAGGAGAGACACATAGCTCGGTTACACTGCAGGCCCCATGGTAAGTGCCAGCCCCTGCGGTGTGGCGCCCAGTGCCAGCCGCGTTTCATTACGTTTGTTGGCTGAACTAAAATGTTTTGTAAGCCTTTTTTAAAAAACAAAACAAAAACCCAACAACTCATATTTTTGTCGTTTTGTTACCCCCTCAGTAATGACACTTGGGGCAGACCGCACCCCCCACATCCCCGTTCCTGCGCCACCGGCTCTTCTTGTATTCTAGGTAAGCTCTTCAAGAGTGTGGGCATATCCATAGTTGTCAACTTTTCCCTTTTCTCGTGAGGAATCCTATTCAGAATAAGGGAATTTCCCTTAAAAAAAGGAAAACGTTGACAGCTATGGGCATATCCGCACTGGTGCTTGTTTTTTGCAGTTCTACTCACACAGCACCTCAGCTTCCTGCAGTCCACATCAATAGTAGGCTGCAAAATAGCAAAATTAAGTAAAAAAAAAAACCATTCATAAGAAATTCCCATCGTGAAAAATGGTTTTAAGTGCTTATGCTCACAATGTAAATAAAGCAGAAAATAACACTTGCAACTGTTATCTTATTTTTCCTTCTTTTAATAATTTCAGTGTGGGGGAGTGACAAGAAATTTTCCACAGGGGGTACTACCTGACCTTGCTACGCCATTGCAGGGGATGATGGGAGTTGTAGTCCAACAACATCTGGGGACCCAACACTGGACTAAATGACCTGTTAAATGACCTGCATAGTTCGTTCCAGCTTGGGACCGATGTGACAATTCCCTACTTATCTGGAATCTTTGTGCCTCCTTATAGACAGTCCCCCAAGAATCATGAACACACAAACCAAAGGGTATTCCCATCCTTTCGGTCCCTTTGGTTTGTCTGCTCCTGTTTGTGCAGTGAGCATGAACCTCCTGGAATCAGAGCTTAGCTGAGGGAAAAGTGACTTTAGGGTAGAGAACATGCCATGAAGGGAAGCTGTGGGGTCGGGCAAAGCAGGGAAACCAAAATGCTTGTTTACAAATCTATTGTACTACCAACCTTACTGTATGCTTGTGAAATGTGGACCATTTATAAATTCCATTTTCAAGTCCTTGAAAGATTCCATCAACAGTGTCTCAAAAAAATTGTACACACCACTTGGGAAGACAAGCAAACTAATGGCAGTTTACTGGAAGAAGCAAAGATCACCAGTGTCGAAGCGATGATTCTTCAACATCAACTTCGTTGGACTGGTCGTGTTGTTCAGATGCCTGATTACCGTCTTCCAATGCAACTACTCTATTCTGAACTTAAAAATGGACAGCGTAATGCTGGTGGTCAACAAAAGAGTTTTAAAGACTCTCTCAAGGCAAATCTTTAAAAATGTAGTATAAGAAGAGAAGAGTTTGGATTTGATATCCCACCTTTCACTCCCTTTAAGGAGTCTCAAAGTGGCTAACAATCTCCTTTCCCTTCCTCCCCCACAAGAAACACTCTGTGAGGTGAGTGGGGCTGAGAGACTTCAAAGAAGTGTGACTGGCCCAAGGTCACCCAGCAGCTGCATGTGGAGGAGTGGAGACGCGAACCCGGTTCCCCAGATTAGGAGTCTACCGCTCTTAACCACTACACCACACTGGCTCTCAAACACCGACAACTGGGAAACACTTGCCTGCGAGAGCTCCAATTGGAGAACAGCCTTTACCAAAGGTGTCGTGGACTTTGAAGATGCTCGAATTCAGGACGAAAGGGAGAAACATGCTAAGACGAAGGCACGCTTGGCAAACCCTCACCGTGATCAACTCCCACATGGAAACCTATGTCCCCACTGTGGAAGGACGTGTGGATCCAGAATTGGCCTCCACAGTCACGTACGGACTCACTGTTAAAACTGTGCTCATGGAAGACAATCTTACTCAGCTACGAGGGATCGCCAAAGAAGAAGCACCCTGACTCATTTTGTTATAAAAATCAGTATCCTACTGATGCCTCCTGCGGTATCAGGAAGACTGATAGGCTTGCTTTGTACCCACGTGGCCAGTTATAAGTGCCTCTTGGTTGTGGTATACCCGTTTCAAGGTTCATATCTCTTTGTGAAAGAGGAAAGTGGGTATTTTTCAACCCCTTGTAATCAATAAGTTTGCACTTAATGTGGCCCTTCGCCGCATGCTCCTTTAACATCCAACCTGTCCTTTGGAGCTTGCATTATACATGAGAGTCCCGATACAGTTACATCTTTAATTATTCTGCACAAAAGGCCAAGCCTACCGTTACAAATTCTATGTTTCATTTATACGATCGTCCAAGATTGCCTTCCTCCGAAGAGATCTTGGGTGGGGTGGAAGGGACAAACGACAATGACAAAGGCATAGCTTTGCAAGCTCGGTTGGATTCCACAGCATCTTAAATGACAGCTTTGCCAGCGTGCTCCCCGTTAGCTATAACAATTATGAAAATGAGTTTTATCGCATGACCTCTGGACTGCGATCTCTTTTCAGTGGCACCCTGCATTTGTCTGTCTAGAATATCAGGGTTTCCAAACCTACAAAACAGGTACCTTACTTGGCTGAATGGAAATTCTTAACGGCATCAGTTTATGACCTAGGCTGCATCGGCAAATTTGCAGCATGCTGCAGTAATAAAACCTGAATTCATTGAATTGTAATAGGCAAACACACATTTCCAGGTTTTTGTCGTGCAAGTAGCACAGGAGGAATTAAAAGCCACACAAAACAAGTTGGACACACATAAAACAAGATTGTAGGAATGTGGCACTTCTACAGTCACATTACATAATTCACTTTAAATACTTGTGGGTTGCACCCTCACACATGTTGGGTTGCATATGAGTTGTCACTCTCCGTGATATGGAGAGAGGCATAAGGAGAAAAATGAAAAAAAGCATAGAGAGAGGGAGAGGGGAAAGGACAGCAGAGAAAAAAAGGGAAGGAATGAGAGAAAGAGCTAGACAAATTTAAGCAGAACCAAAAAAAATTAAAAGGAGTTCGATGTTGCAAGCTAAGTTAGTTTAAAAGTTAACCTTAAATCTATAAATCTTCAAAAGGTTGCTGGTTTAAAAGGCATTGCTTTTTATTATGTTTATTTTTTACATTAACTATACAAACAAGTAACAAGGGGAAAGAGACAAGATTAATCTAAGCATCTTTCATAGCTATCATAATTGGACGATGGGATGTCAAGCTGATGAATGTGGATATGTACAATAATAAGATCATAGAACCCACTCAATGCAGGAATTTGTTACAGTATTTCTCAGATCTGCTCTCTCCAATGAGCTCGAGGTTAATGTACAGTCATCTAATTTTATCCTGACCACCACCGCAAGAGAGAATGAGATAGGAGCTTGCACAAAACTGAGAATGAGGGACAGAAACTTGCACGAAACCATCTAACAAGCTCAGTGAAGACGAGACAGACAGACAGACAGACAGACAGACAGACAGACAGACACATATAGATATCAGCCTCCTTGATCTAGGTCTAGGACTCTGTCCTTGACCAAACTGGCTTTTGTTGGAGATAATTGGATTTCTATAGTTCCTTTCTTCCCCTTAGGAAATGTCCATCACAGTAGGGAAAACTATAAACATATGCACTTTTGTTCTGTACTCCTTTACTTGGAAGGACCATGCAGTTTATTTCCAAGTCAGGTGTGGTTCAGATCTCAGACCTTCATCCTGAAAGCACATGTTTTGCCCCCACGTGGAATTGGAGAAGACTCAATAAGAATGAAGTTCTAGGGTTGGGGGAGACACGCCATCCACTTTCATCACAGGCAAAGCTCTTTTAATATAACATGGGGGCGCTTGAGGAATATGCGGCCCTGGTTACATTTCTCCTCAAAGTGCTTTGCCCATGACCAAAACGCTCATGAAAAAGACCATGATGAAAAAGATCCACATGAAGAATCTGTCCATCACTTTGGCTACCTTCTTCCACTCCACTCCTTTGGCGTGGTTGGCTTTGTGGCGTCTCACGCAGCTAGCGATATATTCAATATTCTTGATCAGGATTCTGTAGCAGGAACAGCAACTAACAATATCCCTGGCGTTTTCACCCGGGACTCCACTGCCGTCACAAACGTCATCTGGGGGCTTCTTTTTGAGGTCACAACCGCCATGTTGGATCTTGGCAAGCGGCCTCCTCGTCCCTTCGTATCTGTCTTGGTCTTTTCGACAAGCGCTATTCGTCTTTTCCGCCTTTGGGTCCCGCTCTTTGACACGTTGCAAACTTGTGCAGTTTTCGCCAACGTCATAAACGAAGAAGATCTTTGACATGTAGTCCAAGATGACCACCCTCGCCCACTGTGGGACAGGCTTGGCTCCTGATCCACAGTAATGGATATTCATTATAATGATGGTCAGTGCTGTGGATGCTGTGATCATTGTCATAGTAGCAATGTAATATTTACCTAAGAGGTGAGGGGAAAAGACAGCTCAAATGCTTGAATTGACGACAACAAGAAATCGCGGGAGGAGTTCAACACTGCGCTGTTCTAAATGTTTATTGCTTATTTTATTACGTTTCTGTCCCTTTCCTCCAAGGAGCTCAAAGTGGTATAGGGTCACAAAATCATAGAACTGTAGGACTGGAAGGGAACACAAGGGTCATCTAGTCAAGCCCCTGCAATACCGGAATCTTCACCCAACGTGGGACTTGAACCCATGGCCCTGAGCTATCCCAGGACATGGTTCCTTCTGTGGTAAAAAAAGGGTAAAAGGTAAAGGACCCCTGGACAGTTAAGTCCAGTCAAAGGCGACTCTGGGGTTGTGGCGCTCATCTTGCTTTTCAGGCCGAGGGAGCCGGTGTTTGTCCACAGACAGCTTTCCGGGTCATGTGGCCAGCAGGACTAAACCGCTTCTGGCATGACGGCCAAATGCCATTTACCTTCCCACCACAGAGGTACCTATTTATCTACTTGCACTGGTGTGCTTTCGAACTGCTAGGTTGGCAGGAGCTGGGACAGAGCAACGGGAGCTCACCCCGTCGCGGGGATCCGAACCGCCGACCTTCTGATTAGCAAGCCCAAGAGCAGGCATAGGCAAACTCTGGCCCTCCAGATGTTTGGGACTACAATTCCCATCATCCCTAGCTAACAGGACCAGTGGTCAGGGATGATGGGAATTGTAGTCCCAAACATCTGGAGGGCCGGAGTTTGCCTATGCCTGCCCAAGAGGCTCAGTGGTTTAGACCACAGCATCACCCGCCACCCACTTTACCTTTCCTTCTGTGAAAGCATCTCTGCCAGCTCAACAAAACAAACTCCCCTCTCTTCTACATGAGTAGTGTTCTAAGGGATCTCCTGACCCTGTCCCCAGAGGCACTTGGAGAGGGGAATGCCCCATTGTGCTAGCAGAAGTCCTTGTGTGGGCTTTCACTAGCAGGACCAGGTAGTTGAATCTGGCCCCGTATTAGAATGGTCCTAAGCAGAATCCAATGTTACGATCGTGTTCATGACAACCAGAGCTGGCAATGAATTTGGTGGACATCATTACAAGATGCGGGCGGTGCTGTGGGTTAAACCACAGAGCCTAGGACTTGCTGATCAGAAGGTCGGCAGTTCGAATCCCCACGACGGGGTGAGCTCCCGTTGTTTGGTCCCTGCTCCTGCCCACCTAGCAGTTCGAAACCATATCAAAGTGCAAGTAGATAAATAGGTACCGCTCCAGCGGGAAGGTAAACAGCGTTTCCGTGCGCTGCTCTGGTTCGCCAGAAGCGGCTTAGTCATGCTGGCCACATGACCTGGAAGCTATACGCCGGCTCCCTTGGCCAATAAAGTGAGATGAGCGCCGCAACCCCAGAGTCGGTCACGACTGGACCTAATGGTCAGGGGTCCCTTTAACTTTACCTTATTACAAGACACTAGCATCATTGAAAGGACCACATTTCCTTTTGTCTAGGGAATCTGTCCATATGTGAACTATAACTTGCACAAAAATTGCCTTATGGCATCAAACGACAGGGCTCTTCGTTCATCACTCTGTCTCCGAAAGTGGCCAGCTAGACCCTGTTGGTTTGTTTTCTACAAAATCAATATTGCCCTTCATTAATACTTCCAAAGCACTATAAAGCATGCTAAGACTAATAGCATACAACAAGCAACAGCACGGAGAGAGTCTTTGCCGAGAGTTGAATTCAATGTTGCGCTATGACAATTGTCCTGTCTGGCAACGCTATGCGCCAATCTGAGGGTTCTCCCAATCCTTCAGAGTAGATTTGGGTGAGTTGGGGGGCACTGCAAGGGAGATGGGGAAGTCCCAGTGCACTAATTTGAATCCTTGGGCCAACTTCCAGTAGCAGAACAACTTAGTTGACTCCAACTCTCAGTGCCTAAAAGATACCTAGGCTGGCACCAGGCAACCCCACCCCCCAGGAAGGAATCCCTACTTCATAGCCCTAAAGTTATAATTTCAGGATGCCCCTTAGGCATTCTGACAAAGCACCACCAGCTCTGCAAGGCAAACATAGGGGATCAGGAAGAAGGCAGGACTGAGTTTTATTTCTTATCCTATATTGGCTCAGATGCATCCTCTGCAGCCCACCCCCCTCCCATGGCACATTGTAGCGGGACTTGTTGGGATAATTATCCCATTCAATACGAGATTGCTATTTTGCAAAAGTAAAGGTAAAGGGACCCCTGACCATTAGGTCCAGTCGTGGCCGACTCTGGGGTTGCGGTGCTCATCTCGCTTTATTGGCCGAGGGAGCCGCCGTACAGTTCTGGGTCATGTGGCCAGCATGACTAAGCCGCTTCTGGCGAACCAGAGCAGCGCACGGAAACACCGTTGACCTTCCCACCAAAGCAGTACCTATTTATCTACTTGCACTTTGATGTGCTTTCAAACTGCTAGGTTGGCAGGAGCAGGGACCGAGCAACGGGAGCTCACCCCATCACGGGGATTCGAACCGCCAACCTTCTGATCGGCAAGTCCTAGGTTCTGTGGTTTAACCCACAGCGCCACCCATGTCCCACAATTTTTGCAATGCATTGTACCAAATGTTAGGATTGTGTCACGTTTGAGGAACTTAAATAAATGCATAACACAGACTAAATCTTGCTTAAAGTAGAAGCATCAAAATCAATGGGACTTGAGCTAAGTTTTGCCACATTGTATCCAATAAGGGGAAATGAATTGGATATGTAAGTTTATTTATTGTATGAAAGGTTCGTGACATCTTAGCCTAAAGACTATGTTTGGCTTTGAGTTACAGCAAAGTAAGTGAGTTTGGTGTCATCACATACAGTGGAACCTTGGTTCTCGAACGGCTTAGTTGTCGAACAAATCGGCTCCTGAACGTTGCAAACCTGGAAGTAAGTGTTCCAGTTTGTGAACATTTTTCGGAAGCCGAACATCTGACGCGGCTTCCGCTTGAGTGCAGGAAGCTCCTGCAGCCAATCGGAAGGCTCGCCTTGGTTTTCGAACGGTTTCAGGAGCCGAACAGACTCCGGGAACAGATTAAGTTCGAGAACCAAAGTACCACTTTATTCTGAAGGGTCTGGCTTGCTCCATAGCAGGCAACAACATCATCAAATAATGGACCCCTCACAGCTCAATTACATAAAAAGTATAAACGCTCCGATACCTACCGATCAAGGGCACATTTTCAGAAGGAGGCATGCTCTCCGCAACCATTAGCTGAAACACGGTCAGGGCAAGCAGAACAGTGACCCCCAGAGACACTTTTTCTCCAGAGTCTGCTGGGAGGTAGAATCCCAGTGGAGCCAGAAAAGATATCAACAGACAAGGAAGCAGCAGGTTAAATATATAGAAAGATGATTTCCTTTTCAAAATAAGGGTGAATGTAACATCTGGATAAGGCTCTGAGCAGCAGCCATAGGTTATCACATTCCTAACAGCCGGCATGCCGTGAATCTCCCACTCCACGTCTTCTATAAAGTCTGAGAGGTCGCCGCTGTCTAAAGAATTGAAAATATCTACCTGATTACCATTGTAGGTCCAAGAGCCAAAGGTTAGGTTGCACTCCTGGCTATCGAAGGGGAAGTAAGATACATCCACCACACATGAGCTTTTTGTTATAGCCGGTGAATCCCAAGTAATCTTGCCATCATGCCTCAATACAATGTTAGTGTTCACGGGCTCGGAAAAGTCATCATCAGCCCTAAAACAACAACAACAACACCATAAACACATATAAAACAATAAGTATATACAGATAAATCACCTTGTCGCAGGGATTCGAACCGCCGACCTTCAGATCGGCAAGCCCAAGAGGCTCAGTGGTTTAGACCACAGCACCACGCTCCCATAACAGCACAAGGCAGGCTGGATGGAAGCCACAAGCTCCCAGTTCACATCTCAGCTCACCTATAATTTTACTAGGCTTACAGGCTTCACACATCTTGTGTAAAGTGCTTTTGAGCCTCTGTCCCACTGTGAGCTGCGTGTGTGAAAGGCAGAACCACAGTTTTAAATGTGCTTAATAGCAGATTTTTAAATCGATTGAAGATGTATGAAGCTGAAAAAGCAACCACATTTCACTTTTATGTGAGAGGGTTTTAAGCCAAGGTTGGATGGCCATCTGTCATGGATGCATTAGTTGAGATTCCTGCATTGCAGGGGGTTGGACTAGGTGAACATTGGTGTCCCTTCCAACTCTACCATTCTGTGATTCTAATTATGCTTCATAAATACTAAGGATAACATCAACAACATACTGCCCACATAAAAGACAATATATACTTTAAAGGTGTTTAGAGTTTGAATACCTTCTGAATGACTTTACTCAAGAGTCAATATCGGAATGAAATAGCCAGGGTGTGAATTGTCATTGAGCTACCTTAATAAACAGATTCAAAACATGACATGCCTGGCTGTCTGCCAGAGCATGAGAGAGCTTTTCCTTAGCACTTTTGAAACTGTGGCATTCAAACACCTTTCGGTATAGGCACGTGCAATTTTCACATCCTTTTTCTTACGTAGATGAAAGAGAAAATATTCTATGTGTCAACAACCTACCTGGTGACTAGAGATGTCTGATGGAAGTAACACAAGTGTTGTGAAATAACCTAGATTTCCTACCAAAGGAAATAAAAGCTTGGGACAAGTGAAGATTTCATGAGTTGATCTTTCAACCAGATGAAAGGTGACCGTAGGTGGCTTGTTGGGCCTAAGCTCACAAGATCGTTTGAAACCAGAACTACCGTATTTTTTGCTCTATAAGACTCACTTTTTCCCTCCTAAAAAGTAAGGGGAAATGTGTGTGCGTCTTATGGAGCTATGCCAGAAGCCAGAACAACAAGAGGGATTGCTGCTTTCACTGCGCAGTGATCCCTCTTGCTGTTCTGGCTTCTGAGATTCCGAATTTTTTTTTCTTGTACAGTGGTGCCCCGCAAGACAAATGCCTCGCAAGACGAAAAACTCGCTAGACAAAAGGGTTTTCCATTTTTTGAGTCGTTCCGCAAGACGAATTTCCCTATGGGCTTGCTTCGCAAGACGAAACGTCTTGCGAGTTCTTGTGAGTTTGTTTCCTTTTTCTTAAAGCCGCTAAGCCGTTAATAGCCGCTAAGCCGTTAATAGCCGCTAAGCCGCTAATAGCCGTGCTTCGCAAGACGAAAAAATCGCAAGATGAAGAGACTCACGGAACGGATTAATTTCGTCTTGCGAGGCACCACTGTATTCCTGCTCCAAAAACTAGGTGCGTCTTGTGGTCTGGTGCGTCTTATAGAGCAAAAAATACGGTACTTTTTGCCGGCCAATTTGTATTTCCAAATGCCTGGCGGTCACCTCTTCCCGACTGCAAAAGGGATGCAATTTACACAAGGTACACATCTATCACTTTCCCCAGGCAACTTCTCTCTGCAAGCTGGCCCCAGATCCTTCACTCCCCCCACCAATGAATAGATAAATAAGCATAGCGCTAGATTCTTGCTTGCACATGTGTAAGAAACCTTCCCGGGCCAAACTTACTTGTTATAAAGGACAATGTCCGGTCTCCATACCAGATTGCTGGGGATTCGGATAGAATCCAACCCATCATATTCATCCTTGTCCCACTTCAAATAGGCATCGTACCATGTTTGTCGAATCCATAGGTAGGCGGTCAAAATTTGGTTTCTCTCATCCTGGAATATGACAGGAGGCCTAAACTTAGGAACATAGGAAGCAGTCTTATACAGAATCAGACCACATATTGTCCACCCCAAGGGTGGGCAACCTGTGGCCCTCCAGGTATTTCTGGACTACAACTCCCATCATCCTTGACAATTGGCTATGCTGGATGAGGATGATGGGAGCTAAGAACCCAAAAACATGTAAGGAGCCATAGGTTGCGCTCCCTTGAAAAACAGTATCTCAAAGTCCTGTCTGGAGATGTATGGGATTAGCAATAGATATCGCTCATAACATAGATATGGAAGCATGGGAATGATTGTGGAATATGGATATAAAATTTAGTGACATATAGAAGTGAGAGCTGGACCATAAAGAAGGCTGATCACCGAAGAATTGATGCTTTTGAATTATGGTGCTGGAGGAGACTCTTGAGAGTCCCATGGACTGCAAGAAGATCAAACCTCTCCATTCTTTAGAAAATCAGCCCTGAGTGCTCACTGGAAGGACAGATCCTGAAGCTGAGGCTCCAATACTTTGGCCACCTCATGAGAAGAGAAGACTCCCTGGAAAAGACCCTGATGTTGGGAAAGATGGAGGGCACAAGGAGAAGGGGATGACAGACGACGAGATGGTTGGACAGTGTTCTCGAAGCTACCAGCATGAGTTTGACCAAACTGCGGGAGGCAGTGGAAGACAAGAGTACCTGGCGTACTCTGGTCCATGGGGTCATGAAGAGGTGGACACGACTAAACGACTAAACAACAACAAATCTTTTAAGAGAACATTATATGAAAATGATATATCAATGGTATATCTAACTCCAAGCAAACTGGAAAATGTATAAATCTAAATCAAACCAACGCTGGAAATGTAAAGAGAAAGAAAGTTCTTTTTATCATATGTGGTAGTCTTGTAGTAAGGTTAAAGTTTATTGGGAAATGATATATAATGAATTGAAAAGGATGTTCAAAATAACTTTTATAAAAACCACAACCCAGAAACTTTTCTTTGGGGAATTATAGGGACAGAACTACCTAAATTGTATAGAAATTGATTTATGTATGCTACTACAGCAGCAACAATGTTACTTGCCCCAAAGCGGAAAGAAGCAGAAGTCCCAGAAAAAGAAGAACGGATACAAAAACTTATGGAATATGCAGAAATGGTGAAACTTACTGGAAGAAAAAGAAATCAAGATAACAAACGTTTTATAAAAGAAGGGAAATTGTTTATTGAATATTTACAGATAAATTGTAAAAGATTAATGTAATAAGCTGCAGTTTTATAAGAGTATATATTTACAGCAGATAAATAAATGAGCAAGTTAAATGAACTTGGAAATGCAGAAGATATAAATAATAATAATTTAAGGAACCGCAGAAAGAGGGGGAAGGAAGACAAAATTTGGAAATGTTAAATTGATTGTAAAACTAATGAAATGTGTAAAATTGAAAAAATTGAAAAATATAAATAAAAAACTCATAGCTGTCAAGCGTCCCTTATTTGGCGGGACAGTCCCTTATCCCAGCGCCATGTCCCGCTGCTGTCCCTTATTGATGATGTCCCTTAAATAAGCTACTGAAAGCAATGGGGCCCTTTCTATGTCCAGCTGTCCTTTGTCAATAACAAATTGTTGCTGTTTTTTTGTGTTGAATATGTGCTATATGGTCATTTATGTGCTATATGGTCATTTAGGTATCTAAAGCCATTTGCACGCAACAAAATATGTATTTTATCAAAGTAATTGTTGATCCCTTATTTTGGCTGCTGATCCCTTATTTTCAAATCTGTAAGTTGACAGCTATGCTTCAAGTACGTAGAAGCAGCAAGATAAAAACAAAAGTCCTTAAGCCTCTGCAATTCAAAATTGACAGACAAGATCAGGGGCTTTCTATCTGTAGAATATAGACCTCTTTTACTTACCATATCCTTTATTTGGGAGAGAGTGATCTGAAGAGTGACATTCAGTACGCTGTCTGTATCTTCCACTGGTCTGAGAGCATTTGAATAGTCTTCAAAGAGCTCATTAAAGAGCATTTGAGCATATTTCCCTTGTGCTGCCTTAGCAACTGTATAAAACATATATATTTATTTTACATCGTCCATTGTAAACTTACAGTATTTGGCTTCTGACTTCCAGAGTCACATGAGCCGATTATGATATTTGCAGTAGTATACAGTATTATACATTTTAAAAGGCAAGGTTGGTTGTTGGGGATAGTTTGTTAAGCACTTGGTGCCATTTCTACAATAGAAATGTAAAACAGCTGCAAGTCAAGGGACCCTGGAAACTGTAGTTCAATAACGGGGATGGGATTGCTAAAAAAGAATTCTTCGCACCTCCCAAAAACACAGTTCCCAGAGTTCTTTAAAAGGAAACCATGGAGGTTAAACTTCAGGTGCTAAAACTCTGTCCTAACCCCGTTTCTTTCCATGAGACTACGCTGCCATGTAGTGGCACCATCCTAGTTTCCTAGAATTATTAAAATATGCATTTGCATCTCTGCATACTGAAATTGTTGAGTGTCTGTAGCAGGGTTGCCATATTTCAACCCTAACCCCGTTTCTCTCTCTCTATATATATATTTATATACAGTGCTTTTTTCTGGAGGGACGCAGGGGTATGCATACCCCTAAACATTTTGTGAATCTAAGTTTGGCCTCATTGAGGGGCAGTAATTCAACAGGAGTAGTAAAATGAGAGTACCCCTAAACATTTTTGGGGGGAGTGCTGTGTGTGTGTGTGTGTGTGTGTGTGTGTGTGATTTTCTGTTTTGCAATTTAGAATATTTATTTAGACAACCCTAAAATATCAGTGACTTCCCTTCTTCTCATTCCTTGATTCATTCTGCATAGCATAAATCCCTGCATATTTTATATAAACTAAACCATTCAGTATTCCACTGTTACATCCATCAAAACCTATTTACACTGTTGAATTTATATTACTGCTGCCAATGTTTTCAAGTGTACACAATTTCCTCCCATTATATTCAATAAACATTTCCCAATCTTCTTTAAACGAATGTTCTTCTTGTTCTCTTATTCTACAAGTTAGATCTGCAAGCTGCGTATATCCCATCAGTTTAAGTTGCCATTCTTCTTTGGTTGGGATGTCTCCTGTTTTCCATTTTGGGGCTAACAAAACACGGGCCACCGTAGTGGCATACATAAATAACCTTTTCTGACACCTGTGAATTTCAGTCTGAATTGTCCCCAACAAAAAGGACTCTGGTTATTGTTTCTTTGGAAAGGTGCTTTTAAACATTTTTTCCAATTCGTTATAAATTATTTCCCAATACTTTTTTACCTTTTACAGGTCCACCACATGTGAAAGAACGTTCCCTCCACCTCATTGCTAACCCTGTTTCTTTCCATGAGACTACGCTGCCATGTAGTGACACCCTCCTAGTTTCCTAGAATTATTAAAATTATGCATCTGCATCTCTGCATACTGAAATTGTTGAGAGTCTGTAGCAGGGTTGCCATATTTCAACCCTAACACCCTCCTTCATGCCTCCCTGCTATGGAAAAAGTCTCTTACCATGAAGCATTCCCACTGCAAAAACCAAGGAGAGGCTAAAGGCAAAGCGGAGCTTCATTGTGGAGAAGCTTTGCTCCTCTGGCTGTAGACAAAAATATATATCCCAAGCCGTTCTCTAGGTGAAAACATTCATGCCCAGTGCAACCTCACACGGAGAGCATAAAAGCAATAGACTCTGCCATACTTCTTCCCGTAGCTATAGTCAGAGTGGCATCGTCCTCTAGAGCTCCAACAATCATCACTCATCATCTGTTTTCTCATGGCCCTTACAGATCTGGTAACCTGAGAATGACGTGCCGGGTGACGAGGTGAAGGGATATCACCACGAAACTATTCCGCCAGAACTCCTGTAAGTCCTCGCTGATCACATTTCTTCTCTGCAAATAAAACCACAAAAGTAAGAATCAGCTCCAGCTCTGCTCCCACCTATTTTCTGTCTATCGCCTGCCCCCACGCATACAGCTGCCTGAGAGATTCTGCCTCTTCCAAAGGACGCTGAGCATTGGGGCTCCATTGTTATATTTTCATATTTGCAAGCCAATATATAATTTCTACAATATTTTTCCTAGGGAGTATCCCCCACCCCATGACCTGTGTCACTGATTTAGCGACTATACGGACAAGGGCAACATATTGGTGCATATTTGGCAAAGTTGTTGCGCTTATATTTACAAAATAAGGATAAACTTTTGTCTAAAATGTATAATTTTCTACTAGAATGGGAAACAAAAGACGAGCTTGTTAAAACTCCAGTGACACACTCGGCAATAGATACAAAACACAATATAAATCTCAACCTCTTGGAGAAACTCTGGAAAAGTGACCTGAAATTTACTGCATATTATTCATGGAAAGAGAATTATTCGAAAATGATTCATAAATGTTACTTAACTCCGAGTAGGATGGCTAAGATTTATAAAAGAGAATCAGATATGTGTTGGAAGTGTAAAGAAGCTGAGGGAACGTTTTTTCATATGTGGTGGACATGTAAAAAGGTAAAAGTGTATTGGGAAATGATTTATAATGAATGGGGGGGGCAGGAATGTTTAAAACTACTTTCCCCCCCAAAAAGAATCCTTTTTGTTGGGGATAACCCAGACTGAAATTCCTAGGTGTCAGAGAATGTTATTTATGTATGCATAATTTATAAATGATCTATAGGATGTAAGTGCTGTACATCCATATTTTGCGAGCCAAACGCATCTGTTTTTAAATCAGGCCACTACACACATTATGAGGCCACAAATATGTATTTGACACCACATCTATTCACAAAATGTTTAGGGGTATACGTACCCCCAGAAAAAAGCACTGTACGTATGTATGTGTGTTTACCTTGTGCAATTACCAACATTTATCCTATATTTGAGACCTTAGAATTCCTATAACAATAGAAAACAGGGACAAACGGTTAAAAGTGATGACCTGTCTTGCATTTGGGGCCTAGTTTGTGGCGCAAATCATCCTTTGGTGAATATTCATATTGGAAGCGCAGAATCTAGCAGCAGAGCATGCAGCATTTGGGTTTTTTCATCTTGAGGCAGCAGGGAGGTATAAAGCGGTTCTGTGGATCGTCGGAACCGATCGTGTACTACCTCGCAAGGTCGTTGTTGCAAGGCAGTGCCGAGCTCCTGGCAGCAAGGAAGGGACACCAATGTGAAACATTAAGAAAGACCAGCAAGAAGTTGTTATCTGGAATTCCTGTCGTGCGACAGAGATGCTTACCAGGTGAGATACTGATGCTTACCTGTTGGCAGGAGGAGGAGGGAGCAACTGACCTGTCAGGAGGTCAACTACTACTGTCCGCTACTGCTGGATTTTGATATGCTTTTAGGCATAGCTGTCAACGTTTCCCTTTTTTAAAGAGAAATACTCTTATTCCAAATAGGATTCCTCGCAAGAAAAGGGAAAAGTTGACAGCTATACTTTTAGGTGTACATTTAAATAAGGAGGTCATAAAGATCTCCAGGGCGTGTGTTCGGAAATGAGTAAATAAATAAATAAATAAATAAATAAATAAATAAATTTTAATGTCCGTGAAATTCCGGGCGTATGGTTTCTCCACTCGCCACTCTCAGAAACAGCAAGGTCAAGGGAAGCGGCCGAGGAAAGGGTTAAAACAAAGCGCCGCCTCCATCCAACCAACCGGCTCGCCAGCACCTGGCACGTCACCACCACCACCAAGCGCAGGCGCGGAAGGGCAGGCTCTGTGACATCACGCGCCGCACTCTCCCACGCAGGAGACAGGTAGGGGGGTGGTGCGCCGCCGCGAGGCTTCCCGCCAGAAAGCCGCCGAGCTTCTCGAGCTTTTGCTGCGCATGCGCCCACGCTGCCCTCTCCTCTCGAGTTCGCTTGGCGTGGGGGGGGGGAACCCACTGCTCCGCGCGTGCGCAAACTCTTCCTGCGCATGCGGGAAAAGGGGAAGCGGAGAATTCTGTTCGAGGGACCGCGAAGGACTTCGTTTTATTGGCTTGTCCTGCCTCAAATAACGAAGGCTGAGTCGCTGTGCCTCCACAGGAAATGTACGTACTGAGGTGGAGGAAAGCTGAGCTGTGAAACTCTTTGCCACAAGGAAAACACTGGCGAAGAACGTAGCCCTTTTCAAAGGTTGATTTGATGATGATTATAATAATTATAATTTATTTATACCCCCCTCCGAATCTGGCTGGGTTGCCCCAGCCACTCTGAGCGGCTTACAACACATATTAACATAAAAAACATAATAATAAAACAATATACACACACACACACACATATATACACAGAATGGTAGTGTGTGTGTGTGTGTGTGTGTGTATAATTTATTTATATAATTTATTTATTATATTTATTTAGATAATAATAAAATAATAAAGCATCAGACATTAATATTAATAATTAGATCCTATGTTAAAAGTCACAATACCTGTAAAATAAACAATGATCAAGATCAAATAAAGCACTATTCTAGGGCTGCCATACATATGTCCTGGAATTCACCTCAGAAAATGCAAACTTTACAGGTACTTAATATTAAATGTAAGAGGCCTGGTTGGGTCAATTCCCTCTGTCTTCCATGTACAGTGGTACCTCCGGTTATGAACTTAATTTATTCCGGAGGTCCGTTCTTAACACAAAACCATTCTTAACCTGAAGCGCGTTTTCACTAATGGGGTCTCACGCCGCCGGCGCACCACTTCTGCTTGCATCCCGGGGCAAAGTTCATTACCAGGAGCACCTACTTCCAGGTTAGCGGAGCTTGTTACCCAAAGCATTGGTAAGGAGGACGGTACGTAACCTGAGGTTCCACTGTACATTTTGAGCAGGGCAGAAGTTGTTTTCTGTCACCATGCAGATAGCATGTGGCCTGAGCCAGCAGAGCTCCTATGCTCAGAAACTAGGTAGCCCAAATACCTTCTATTCTAATAAAATACAGTGATGATGCATTTATTGTTGGAAAACCATGGAAGTTTCCAAAAGGTGAGAAACAAAACTTGGCACAGGGTTACGATGATACACTGCAAACTCAAAGCACTGGATTTTTCATATAGACCTCAAACGTAGTTCAGTCTAGTTCAAAAGCAGCAGGTTGGTGAATGTGATGGTTCATACACTTACGGAAATAGTCTAACCACAGAGATGTTTTTCTTTCTATGCCGGAAACACCTGCTTAGAAAAGAAAAGAAAAAAAACACAGTTCAGTCAAACTCTGTAGAAAAGAAACAGAATAATCCTCCTCCTGCAAATTTCTTTAAAATTAGATTGAATCTGCATGGTTGATTTCAACCAGAATCCCCTAACTGAAATGTTTCACACATGGGGGAAACAGAAGCCATCTTTTTCATAGGCAAGCATGTTTGTTGTTTCACATGTAGCACAGTCCTTTAAAACTTGACTTATTCCTAAAGAAGACTGTGATGGGTAGGCACTTCAAAAACTTGCACTTACGAGAGCAATAAACACCCATACACAATAAACATCCATATGGAAGCATCCATCATTAGAAAGTGCTGTTGCTGCTGCTGCTGCTGCTGCTGCTGCTGCTGCTGCTGCTGCTGTTGTTGCTGCTGTTAGTCACCAGTCTGTTACCCGTCTGACTGGGTTACCCCAGCCACGCTGGGTAGTTCCCAACCAAATATTAAAAACACAACAATGCATCAACCATTAAGAATTTCCCTGTACTGCCTTCAGATGTCTTCTAAAAGTCACAAAGTTATTTATCTGTTTGACATCTGATGGGAGGGCATTCCACAGGGTGGGTGCCACTACCGTGAAGGACCTCTGCCTGGTTCCCTATAACTTCACTTCTCGCAGGGAGGGAACCACCAGAAGGCCCTTGGAGCTGGACCTCAGTGTCCAGGCGGAACGATGGGGGTGGAGACGCTCCTTCAGATATACTGGACCAAGGCCGTTTAAGGGCTTTAAAGGTCAGCACCAACACTTTGAATTGTGCTCGGAAACGTACTGGGAGCCAATGTAGGTCTTTCAGGACTGGTGTTATGTGGTCTCGATGGCCACGCCCAGTCACCAGTCTAGCTGCCACATTCTGGATTAGTTGTCATTTCTGAGAAACCTTCAAAGGTAGCTCCACATAGAGCACATTGCAGTAGTCCAAGCAGGAGATAACCAGAGCATGTACCACTCTCCATCCTCCAACTGCCACCAGACACTCACACAGGATGTTCAACATTCTCTCTGGTTCTGATTTAAACGAGGTAAAGCTGGGTATCATCCACATACTGATGAACACCCAGCCCAAACCCCCTGATGATCTCTCCCAGTGGCTGCATGTAGATGTTGAAAAGCATGGCGGAGAGGACGGAACCCTGAGGCACCCCACAAGTGAGAGCTCAGGGGTCTGAACATCCAACCCCCGAATTCACCTTCTGGACACGGCCCCGGAGGAAGGAGCGGAACCACAGTATAACAGTGCCCCTAGATCCCCTAGACAGTCCCAACGAAAGAAGAATGAATACAAAAATTTACAGAACACAGAGAAATGGCAAAACTTAGCAGAGAAATAAGAAATCAAGATAACTAACTTTTTTATAAAAGAATGGAAATGGTTTGTTGAATATTTACAAACAAACTGTAAACAGATAAGAACATTGGCGAGATTATTGTAATAACCTGCAGTTTTATAAGAGTATACATTAAAGTAGATGAATAAAGGATTAAGTTAAGGTAATTTGGAATATACAGAAAATCTAAAAAATAAATTTAAGCAACCACAGAAAGAGGGGGAAGGAAGTCGAGTTTTGAAATGTTAAAAGCATTGTAAAATTATTGAAATGTATAAAATTGAAAATCGTAAATAAAAATTAAAAATAAAATAAAATAAATACCATGGTTGATGGTATCAAAAGCCACTGATTTCCACCTCTGTCCCTAGCCTGCCAAAGATCATTGACCAGCACGACCAAGGTGGTTTCAGTCCCATGATGAGGCCTGAATCCCAATTGAAAAGGTTCCAAATGGTCCACATCCTCCAGATGTGCCTGGAATTGTTCAGCGACCACCCTGCTCATTCACCTTGCCTGGGAATGGGAGATTTGACACCTACTGGTGCCTTCCAGCCCACTGTTTGAGAAACACTCCTATAAGTAATTTTAGGTGGTTCACTTTTATGGAAGTCACATTGCTTATTGGTTTATGTCAAGTATCCTACCCATCAGACATAAATTCTCATCTTTAGGTGGTAGAATATAGTTTATCTCCAATTACAATCTCAAGGATGGCTACATTTGGCATTCTTTGATGCAAACCAATATTATAGGTCCATTGGGAAAAATCCAACAGCCACAGCAGGATTTTGTTAGGGTCAACCAAAATGTCAAAATGAGATGAGCAATCTTTCAGATTACTCAGAGCTTTATCAAAACTCGGGAAGTGTGGGGGAGAGAGCAAGATAGGCTTGATGGAAAGCCCCTAAGTCAGTTTTGAGAGAGAAAGAGAAAGCAGAAGGAATTGTGTTGACTTAGAATAGCCTCTGCTAGGTGCTAAACTTAAAGTTTTGGGTTGTCACATGCATGCTTGCATGCAAATAGTCTGTGCCTTTAATAGCTACATAGCAGGCAGAACCCAATAGATAGAGATTTTCCTATGCCTTCGCTCAAACCATGATAAACTTCTCCTATTCTTCTTTTAAAAAATGAATTGAGTGTTCAACATAAACTGCGTAATAGGCAGATTATTATTATTTTTTAAAAACCTTCACCTAGGAATTTCTGCCCATGTTCTACTTATGCTGAATGAGCAATTCTTTGTGTAAAAAGTGGCAATCCTATTTAGCTTTGCTATAATTTTTCTAGTAGAGCTTTTTTGAGAGTTGATAAAAACCCTAGTTTGTTGAAATGCAGCAATTGCATTGTCTTGTTGAATTTCTGTTATTCATTTGTTAAAAACATGGGGACTGGGGAGCAGTCCTCAGAAATTGCTAGACCTAGACCTAGAGGGCACAATTGTCATTCTGTTGTTTTGCACTTAAAAACTAGATAAGAATGAGATAATCTCCTGCATCTTTGATTTTATTACAGTACCTGCTGTTGCTCTTAAAAGGATTATAGTTAAAAGGCTGCCCTTTAGCTATTATACCTACTCTGCTGTTGCCCTGATAAAAAGATGTTTGAGATAAAGCCAAAACCTCCAGATGTTGCAATTTTTCCTTAAGAGTGAGTTGCACCAACTGCTTGATCATTTTTAATTGGCCGTTTCTGAAACTTTCCCAGCTCTAGAATAGCCTTTTGAGGTTTGGGCAAAACTTTATCCAGCAGAAAGATGCAAAAACGGCCCATTTTATTTTGAAGAAAAGAAGTATGTTCTCTACCTCAATTCCCCATCCCCTTTGTTTCTGGGGGTCTTCCTAAAATAAGGTCAACAACTTTTGGGGTGTCCTAGTTTTTGCAGTACCATCCCTGCACAATTTTAAACCGTTTCTGAAAAGACTCATCTTTTCTCAGCCACTTTTATGGAGTGATTGTGGATGGAGTTTCATTTGGGTACAAAACCTATAGTGCGTTTTTCAAACAACAAGAACCAAGTTGTATTATGTTTTCTTTGTTACACTAGGCCAAATGTGGTTTATGGACTGGCTAATTTAAGTGTAATATATATTTTGCACTAGACAGCTTTAAGTGAAGGAAATCATAGGTGTGAGCCCTACGCACAGCTGTCAGTGTTTCCCTTTTTTAAAGGGAAATTCCCTTATTCCGAATAGGATTCCTTGCAAGAAAAGGGACAAGTTGACAGCTATGCCTACTTGTTTTGAAAAACTTTCATTAGCTGGCTAGTTGGCTGCAGGGGCAAAGCCATCTTAAATAGGGCTGCCATATGTCCGGACATTACTGGGATTTCAAAGGCGGAATTGAAGTCCAGGGGGAATTTCCGAAAGGCTGTGATTTGTCCTGGATCTTAGGCAAGCGTGGGGTTTTTTGTTTTTTTAATAAAAGGTAATCAATTTTGGGGTTTTCCTAAAAGTAGCTCAACAGCTTTGGGGGTGTCCTTGTTTTTTACTTTTTGAAATATTGCTTGCCCATTCTGCCTAGTGATTGGCTGAAGTAAGGAGTCTCCGCACCTTTCAGCTGCACCCCTTACCTGCACATACTGCTACCTGAGACTGCCGGCAAAGATTCAGCCCCAGCTAATGTGGCCAGTGGACAGGGATGACAGCTGCTTTAGTCCATTGGCTGCTGGAAGTTCACTGGTTCCTCGTCATCCAGGAGAGAGTGCTTCAGTGTCCTCCAGACACAGCACACAGCAGTGGCAAATACATTTCTCACAGAGCCATACTAATGAATGTTGCCTTTCCTGTTTTCCAGGTTAGCAGCGGCTACCCAGGTCAGCGCCGCATTACAAGAAAAAGCATTCTTTAAAAGAATCACTGCGCAAAAGGATTTGCAAAAGAGAGGATGTGTTGAATGTAGAGTTGGAAACAAACTCAAGAGTCATCTAGTCTAAACCTCTGCAATGCAGGAATCTCAACTATAAAAAAAGGTAAAGGACCCCTGGACGGTTCAGTCCAGTCAAAGGCAACTACGAGGTTGCGGCACTCATCTCAATTCTTTTTTTTTTAATAAGGAAATTATTATTTATATGCCGCCCATCTTGCTGTGTTTCCCCAGCCGCTCTGGGCGGCTCCCAACAAAATATTAAAAACACGAGAAACCATCAAACATTAAAAACTTGCCTAAACAGGGCTCCCTTCAGATGTCTTCTAAAAGTCAGGTAGTTGTTTATTTCCTCGACATCTGGTGGGAGGGCGTTCCACAGGGCGGGTGCCACCACTGAGAAGGCCCTCTGCCTGGTTCCCTGTAACCTCACTTCTAGCAGCGAGGGAACCACCAGAAGGCCCTCGGAGCGGGACCTCAGTGGGTGGGGGTAGAGCTGAACGATGGGGGTGGAGACGCTCTTTCAGATATACTGGGACGTTCACAGGGCAGTGCTGAATTAAACCCTGTGGAGGCCCCTTGGCGGTGAAAATGTGGGCGGGGGGCAGGCCTCATGTGCACGCTGGAATAACATTGAACTAAGAAACATTGAACTGTTGTGGAACCCCTAAAAAGTGTGGGGCCCATAGGCCAGTGCCTACTCTGCCTATTTGGTAATCCAGCCCGGCCCCTTTGGCTGCAGGAGACAGAAGAAACAGAAGTTAAGGGACGCCTCCTGATGTCCTGCAGCTGTTCCCCACAATGAAATGGAAGGCTCAACATTTGTCAGGCACTTTCGGATGCTCAGCAGCCCTGTGTGGTTACAACAACCCTGTAAAGTAGGCTGGTGCTATGTGCTCCCCAAATTGCAGCTGAATCCCTCGCAGATTGGCACCCAACCTCTGCTTAAAAACCTCCAAGGAAGGAGAGTCCACCACCATCCCAGAGAGTCTTACCATCAGAAAGTTCTTCCAAATCTCATTTCCTGCCCTCCCCTCTGGAGTAGCAGAAAGCAAGCTTGCTCCCTCTTGCAGCCCTCAGATATTGGAAGTTGGCTCTCCTCTCTCCTCTCAGTCTCCTCTTCTCCAGGCTAAAAAGACCTAGCTGCCTCAACCGTTCCTCACGAGGCTTGGTTTCCAACTGCCTCAACCGTTCCTCACGAGGCTTGGTTTCCAACTGCCTCAACCGTTCCTTATGAGGCTTGGTTTCCAACTGCCTCAACCGTTCCTCATGAGGCTTGGTTTCCAACTGCCTCAACCTTTCCTCACAAGGCTTGGTTCCAACCGTTCCTCATGAGGCTTGGTTTCCAGACCCTTCACCATCCTAGTTGCCCTCCTCTGCTCACCTTCCAGCTGCTCAATATCCTTCTTCAACTAGCCTGCACTGACTGGCAGCAGCTCTCCAGGGTTTTGGATGGGGGGGGGGACATTCCCAGCCCACCCCAGATATGCCGCCCAGGACAGAAGAGCTACACGCAAAGCAGATGGTCCAATCCTGCGCTATGGAGACCCCTAGCCTGCCTTGAAGGATGTGGGGATGATCTCCTCGGAGCTGGACCTCAGTGTCTGGGCGGAACGATGGGGGTGGAGAAACTCCTTCAGGTACACAGGGCCGAGGCTGTTTAGGGCTTTAAAGGTCAGCACCAACACTTTGAATTGTGCTTGGAAACGTACTGAGAGCTAATGTAGGTCTTTCAGGACCAGTGTTATATGGTCTTGGCACCTGTTCCCCATCACCAGTCTAGCTGCTGCATTCTGGATTAGTTGTAGTTTCCAAGTCACCTTCAAAGGTAGCCCCACGTGGAGCGCATTGCAGTAGTCCAAGCGGGAGATAACCAGAGCATGCACCACTCTAGCGAGACAGTCTCCGGGCAGGTAGGGTACCAGAGGGAGCCGGCGTTTGTCCACAGACAGCTTTCCGGGTTATGTGGCCAGCCATTAAAACTGTCTAGGCAGCACAAGGAAAAAATATCTTTGTTCCAATGCAGCAGAGAAGTTCTTGTGTTATTATGGCCTGCTGTTTCTCGAATAAGACCCCGTCCTCCCCTCCTAGGAAGGCCAGATGTAAAAGTGGATCGAGCTCTTCCACCTTTCATAAATGGATGTGAGAAATTTTGTGGATTTCCTTCTACACTACTATTAAAGGTGGAGGAACTCAGTCTATTCCTTTTCCTGTCTACCAGATGACTATTGAAGCTGAAGAGAGCATCCAAGGTATATACAGTATGTTAATATGTTAATATGTCATTGATCCGAGGTCGCTCAACGCACTGTAAGGAATGAGCATGTTGCTTTGAGTTGGGATTTCAACCTAGGCCTCTCCCAGTCCTAAAATCATTGCACAACTTATGATTCTGATATGCCATGTGGATATATCAGGTTGCAACCTCATGTGGGTTGGCTAGGTTGCAAACTCAGGAGTCCTCTTGCACCTTTACATTCACTGCTCAGTGAGACCATGAATCAAGAGGCTTTGAGCCACTCCACCCTGGAGGGTCTTTGGTAGTGGATTTTACTGGACTGTCCACTGTCAGGCTTCAGGGAATCCTATCCCTTCCACTGTGGCAGCAAAGAAGCAGATAAAGAAAAAGAGTTCTTATCAAGTAGTTTATTCAATATTCGCAGCGAGAAACAAAGGAATGCAGTCTCTCTTAGATAATGGCATTGCCCAGGTAATGTCCCACCCCCTCCGTCTCTCCTATTCTACGTCATCCCTGCGCCGGCTGATCTGTGCTTTCTGCCTCTGAGCTTTCTGTTCTCCTACTCTCAATGCACTCCTGGGAGAGGGGGGTCAGGAATACTTTCCTGAGACACTGAGTCTGTTAGCTGTCTCTCCCCTGGTGCTTCTTCTTCCTGCTGCTCTCCCAATATTTCCCAGCTTCTCCCCTCTGCAGCCTCTGAACTGTGCCCTTCTGCACACCACTGTTCTAAATCTATACTGTCCTCCTCTTCTTGGGAAGGTGCAGGAAGAGGGAGGGGGCGGTTCCCACCATTCCTTCTCAGTCCAGTCCTTGACATCCACACAGTATTCAGCTTCATTAATGCTTCAATACTTTCCCCATGCTGCTGCGTCATTGCTGCTTGGAGGAGCACGCTTGCCCAATAGAGCAGCAAAAGGACTAGGAAAAGAACCCCAGACATTTGTGGTGTAAGAACTTAAAAGCGGATTTCAGCCAGAAGCTACAGACCGGGAACAAAGCAGACCACTTTTTTGCCTTGCTATTTCGTCACCCCAAATGACCCTCCTTAAGGGACGAAAAGACGCTGTTTGCCACAAATGACTTTATATGATTTTTATTTCAAGAAAACTAGAGTTCAGAAACATATACATGAGGAAATGGTGCATATGCTGTTTTAGTGCTCATCTAAAATGGACATTTAACATCAGAAACAGAAGGCTGTACTTCATATCTCACCTGTTCCGTTTAAATCATTAGCACTACTTTATGTGCCCTAAAAGCTTCCTGTTTTTACAGGAAAGAGCATTTATGAGCACCTCCTTTAATCTCTTCCACCTAGGTGTCTAATTTAAGCATGGTCCCTCAAAATGGGAAGCAGTTTCCATTCTGCCCACTCACCCATGGTTGCCACAGCAAGCAAAGAAGTTCTCGAAAATTAAATATGGATTATCTCATCGGTGTAATCACTGGTAGTTGAACTAAGACCGCAAAGCAAAGTTCATGATAAAGCACTGAAGAGGTTCTCAGGATGTGCTGGTCACATGTTTCGATAACAACTTCCTGTATTCTCAGCCTGTCATTTGTGATGCTGATTCAAATATGCAGGGAATGTCAGAATATATTCTACGCTATGACACTACATGTGTAGACAGGACTGCCAAATGAACAGGGGAAAAGAGATGTCTTGGTCTGAACCTGTGCCTTTCCCTGAAGCTTGTTCTGCAAAAATCAGGAGGAGAAGCCCTTTTTGGCACAAGAATAAGTGGCGTCTGCACAGCAGCCTGTTGTCAAAGGCACAGGAGCAGGAGCTGCTTAAAAAGTTGGCAGTCCCATGCAGACGTTCTGCACTTGCAGTCATCTGTGGTGTGTGGATTGGCAAGGCCATGTGGGGAATTCTAGACAGCTTTTATATATATATATATATATTTTAAAATAATTCCAGGATATAGTTTTTAAAAGAAATAGTTCCACAATGGATAATTAGCTAAGGGACCCCCCCCCCACCGTAGGTGGCGATAACAAGTAGTTTGAAGGATATCTAAGTTGCCATGTGCAGAGGCAGTCTACTTGCAAGTAACAGGAAGTGGAGACAAGAGGGGAGAACTGTTCATGTCCGGCATGAGAGTTTTCAAAGGTGTAAGACTGGCCATTTTTGGATACAGGATAATTGGGCCAGAAGGATAAACCCTGGTATGACCCACCTAACAAGATAATTCTGATCTTCTTAGAATGTGTGTAGATTGTAGGGAACAGGTGAGTGTTGGAGGCAAATCCACCCTCCTTCTCCAACAAAACTGCTACCAGATTACATCCTTGTATCTAGTAAGGTTAATGGCAAGATCTAAACAGCCAACAGTTCGAGCTGTTAACAATCCCAGCTAATAAACTTCATGGATTGTTTTCTATGACTTCCCTGCAGGGAAGCTACTGACATTCCCATTTAGTTTCTGTTAAAGGGCGTTAAATTTCATCCTGGGAACTTAAAAATATGTATTACACACTTCTTAGCTTTAGATTCACATATTCAGGTCTCATATATAAATGGTCAGTTACATTTTCAACCCAGCTTTTGGATCCTCCAACAAAACCATGTATTTTGTAAAGGTTGCTCTCTTTTTTTCTGTCTTTCTTCTGGCCTTTACTAATGATATGCAGGCAGAATTTCTACAGGTGGAGCTTTGTCAGGAATGAGGTTCCATCCTGTTGAATTTCTGCCCACCTGGAACCTGTGGCACACACAGGAAGCCTACCAGAAAAAATAAAATAAATGGCCACCTCACTAATTCCTTTGTGTTCATATCCCAGGGCAGACAGAAGAGCTGCCTACTTCTTAAAGGGAGAATCTCTGCCTTGAACTGGTATGAAGAAGCAAGTAAGAGTAGCTTGTC